CTTTTGCACACACGCCAGGCGCGAATACAACTTCACCTTTGCGACATAATCGCTCCCTACTCTCGTTAAAATTATTCGTTATCCAAAGTTCCGCATTAACAGTAACATGGTACGTGTGAAAAGACTTTCCCGAAATATGGTTGAGGTTCCTTAAAATTTACGAAAATTTACTTACGCTTGTGCACAAGCGGAGACCGTCAGAGCATGACTTCTTCCGCGTAAATACAGCATTTGTCTGCGATAAAACAGCCAAGAAAATTCAAACAAGGTCTCTACGAAATCATTTAGTGATAAAATGGACAAAAGTATACTTTTCCTCGCGAGTTAAGGCCGCTTCAAATTGCAGCGACGGAAGGTTCGCAGTCACATCCTCCACAGCCGCCATGTTTGTTTACTAGCAACACCGCTGTCAATCATACAATTACGAGCCCAGAGTTCGCCTTGAAAGCGGTCAAACGAAAAAGTTCATGGGCGCGTACGGCCAGTCCCCGGTTATCAAGACAACTTTGAAACTTCACAGAAAGAGTGGTGGTAAACGCTTTTCCGTGCCGATAAACTAAAGTGGATGAAAATTATTAAAAATTTTAAGTGTATGCGGTGTCCCAAGATTAGGGACTTTAAGCAAATCGTTACGGCTGGCGCTGATACGGCTGCCGGAAGTAAATTTTCCCCAGAATGAGACCCTGCGCGTGTACGTCGGTTGCATCCAGCCGTAGCGTGAAATCAGACTACGTGAGTCAGGATCTTTTGCCGTAGTGGCTACTACGTCGGGTTTATTTCGCTTCTCTGGCCCTTTTCAAAGGACATATCGGCATTTTAAGAATTCCATTGCATACTATATCCTTTAAAGTCAATTTAAGTCAAAGATTGTGTCAAGGTTGCCTCTCACACGCTTGTAAATCCGTATCCCGAATTTACGATAAGTTGTGGCAAAGGTGTTGCAATGGCGAAGTGAGTCAAGTGAAATATTCGTGTTGAACACGAGGTTGTTTTTTCTTCGGTTAAGTTTGCTTTTAGGGTTTAGTCAAGACGTTTTGTATCCGGATAACTATACGATGCTATTTTGCTTCTTTGAGCATTGATATTTGTGTTCTTCACTCGATATTCTTTGCGATATTTGTCTCTGAAATTATATATTTCATCCATCAAGTTGTTATGGTACAAAGTGTATGGCATTCGCTTTCGCTCAGAGATAATCTGCAGGTTCCTCCTAGGAAGGCGAATAACGGCCGTCGCCCTTTGAGCGAAGCCATTTGCCTGTAAGAAACTAAATAAAAGATATTTTAAACTCCTTAGCCGATGTTTGTTTCATCTTTGCATTTCGCTTTGCTGGCTAAACTTAAAATTTGGCAAACCACCAAGACGTACTCTCCCCAGACCTTTTCAGTCACCGCAGCCGTAGTAGCACCAGCCGTAGTGATTTGCTTAAACTCAGTACTTGTCTTTTTCTTACCTTTCGGATTGAGACGTTTATAAGTAGCAATTTTGTCGAGAATTAGCTAGAACCAGTAGAACTGATCGAGGAGTTTTCAGGCTATGATCGCGGAACAGCAGAGCTAGAGCTCTGGGCTCGAGATTGCAAACCAACCGTAACTATAAACCGATGAGGTCGGGAGGTGTTAGGGGATGAGAGGTAATCACAAGGGCTGTCAAGGTGTTGGAATGGCGAAGTGAGTCAAGTGAAAGTGACTTCTTGGATCATCTCATGGTCCTCCACAATGTCAATAGTAAACTGTAGCTTTTTGAAGCTTACACTGTGATTCCAGCCAGGTGTGCCAAACACTGATACATGATCACGAAAACGTATAACATATGTAAGGCCATGCCATTAAATAGGTTAATAAAAAGCAGATAAAAAATGAATAGTATTGGAAAATATACTTAGTTTGAGTTAGTTACAGATGAGATAAGTAAACTTTGAAATCTGTATAAGCTGGCTTATTTAAGCGGACCTTTTCCGGCAGTGGGGAGGAGGGGTTCTCCGACCCCCCCCCCCCCCCCCCCCCCCCCCCCCCCCCCCACTCCAGTATACAAGTTAGTAGAGTGAGAACTCCCCTTTGTTGAGACCTCGGATCCCTTTGCGATCTTTGTTTCGCCAACGCTCTTAGGGGAGAATACAAAAGCAGAAACCGATACANTGCGAATGCACACAGTTCTGATAGTATTAACTGAGGAAAAATATGTTTTAGTCATATTAAATCCAAGTCGAGGTCTCAGTGGACCCCAGGGTTTGGATAGCCGGCTGCGACCGTGCTGATACATCTTTCTTGAGTTTTTGAGATCAGCTTATTTTAACTTAATACATATATACCGCCTTACCCAAGGTTCAAAAAACTCGGTGGGGAATAATTGCAGAAATATAAAGGTCACCTAACTTCGGCTCTTAAAAGCAGTCTTGGTGATACTAACAGTCCCGATTTTCCGCTCTGAAAAAGCCTTCCCAATGATTGCCAACTTAGTACGCCGAACGTGTGAATAACGTTATAAATTACTTGCTAGGTGGCAACAATATAAATGGTCTAAAACCTTCTCAAAAGATGTGTCTTGCAAAACCATATATTTTTTTGAAATCAATCTAGTAGATATCTCTGGAGCTTCTATGTAAAATTCAACGTTCTGCAAGTGATTCGGCCATCCAGCTTTGTTGTTTCAGCAGTGCAGGGATTCAAGTTAGAGAGGCTGTTGTCAGAATTTTGAGAGGATTTTAAGCCTCCGTGTCTGTTGTCAAGCAAAGCTGAAGCACAATTCTCTTTATAGAATTAGAAATATTATTCTGGCGGATATTATTCTGACGAAAACAGATGATACGCTCGCCGACGACTCCAAATAATGGGCATAACGTTTTATAGAGGCCAGAACTTAATGTTTATAGTTGATGGTGTAGGTGTGACTGAAAAGCTACTGTTAAATCTAAGAAGCAAAATGTATAGAAACTGTAGCTTGTCGCGTCGGTGTGACTCCAAATTTAATCTGAATAAGGGAAAAAGATTGGAAGACAGAAAAAGCTAGCACGCTGTGAGGCTAAATACCATACCCAAGGGCATGTTATCATAACAACACATATTTTTGTCACGGTAACTGCGCAGAGAGGCGATAACTACGCCTTTTGTTAAACAAATCAAAAGCAAAGTTGAGTGACAAACACAGATCACGACCACCAAGCAGGCTTAAAATATAGGTCAGCTGCAGCATATATTAGGCTTGTACTGGACTGTGCTCGCGCCCGCTGTTTGAAAAGAACGTGCGAACGATTGTGGCCACAGACTGGTAACCGAAGAGCGCTCGCCTGTTTACTGAAGCCAAAACAAAACGGAAAAGGTGACTTAATTTGCATTCTCGACCTTGGGTATAGAGCAATTCATAAACAACGCTTCAGCTATTCCGAATCAGTTTTTCCGGAAACCTTTGCGAGAAGAGTTGTATTAAATACGGGTAAAGTGTCTGATATTCAGATTTTTTACAAGCTCTCTTCGTCGAACTGTTCATGGAAGTCGCCTTCTACAACTACACAGCAATACACGTGTAACAATGGCATCAAATGCTATCGAAACATTTGAAGTTAAACTTGACGAGACGAATCGCGTATTTTTTCCTGGTGACACTGTAAGTGGGCGAGTAAATTTGAAACTTAACGACGATTTAAAGATCAAGGAAATGCGACTCGAATGTCTCGGTGAAGCGTACGTGAATTGGCCAGAATACTCAGGCAGCTACACTCGATACCATTACAACAAAGAGCGATATTTCAGCACTATGGCTGTCATTTTTGGCGAAGGTAAGTCACTTAAATTAGTCTGCAGTATATGCTGTCTACAAACATTGCGGCAGATGTTTTATTAGCTGCTTTGAAACTTTTATTTTCTGCCAAAGAATCTATTATCATCCAGTAATCTGGTGCAATAGTAATTTGAACGGTTTTCAATGTTATGCAAATTTATAATGTTATATAGCACGAGAATTCGAAAAGCGAAAATGCAAAAGCAGGTAGTGATCTGTGGGATGCAATTATGATTCTGTTTTTTGGGGGTTTTTTTTACGTTAACAGCATTAATATTTTATAACTACAGAAGTTGACTAACTCCTAACTCTGACTATATTGAGTTTAATTTTCAGTGGAATTTTAATCATCATCGAGCCCCAAAATAGGGCTTTAAATATTTCGCCGATATTATACATTTATATTCAGTCAAATAAATCTAAGGAATCTTCAAAGAAGCAAAATTTTTGCCATATGCATATTTTACGTTACCACCCATTATCAGCTATTCGAGGTAAAATGTCTGCAATTCGACGGTGGTAGTCGTTTGTGGAAACCTAGAAATCCGTTTTAAGCGACCGTGCGAGGCTTCTGTTTGATCTGTCAGGCAAACTGTACTGAAATAGTCATTTTCTCTAATTAAAATGTTAATGATATTAGTTGTAAACAGTAGTGAGTTTCGATTTGTGGAATTTAAAATTAAATATCGTGGAGGATCCGATCTTTCCATGTACCGTGCTCGTCGTAAACGGCCTTTACTTTAAGGTGGTGTCGTACGAGCGGATTTGTGACGCGGATTTTCAATCCATGTTGTAAGAGATATCCTTAAACACAACTTTGTTGCCGAAACGGTAGGCAAAAATTTGCATCACGACACCAATGTTTTTTTGTAAGTTCGCGCAATAATGTGGCAGGTTTTTGAATCGCTTTAAAAAAACCTGCAACATGTTACCGCAACGGGATGTTGCGTTAAATGTCGCGCTGTGCGCCATTTGACACGATATCGATTTTTAACGCAACATTGTTGCATTAAAAATCGGCGTTCAAAATCGGCTCGTGTAATACCACCTTGAATTAAAAGAAAAAGCGTGGTATCTATCTATAATGTTTACATGGCGAAAATAAACTGAAGTCTGGTCGTATGGTTGACAGATAGTGTTGTTCACAGTAAGTATTAATTGTTGACATTGTTTTGACCACGGGATTGATCCCTCGTTTATTGTATATAGTCGACAACAGTTTGCGCGTGGCATGCGTCATGTTAGACCAGTTGAATTTTACCACTATCCCTTGGAAACTCTTCAATTCTCTGAAGCTTTCTTTCATTTTGGAGGAAATCTACACGTATTTATCTAGTTTTGCCATCGACTTAGTCGACGTAAAGTGCATGAAATATTCATAGCCTAATTCAATATTTCATCTTAGTGCTGGCGATCATTCAAGCACATTCGCCACATGTGTGGGTATATTCATGTGATCTGATCTGACTTCTGTGTTTTCTGGAAGATTTGCAGTTGATATGGGGAACATACTAATCCTTAGCTTATTTCACTCACAAGCTTATTTGCAGTTTCCAGAGGTCAAAACTGAAGGGTTTACAAACGTGATTATGTAAATTTAGGCGATGTATTTATTCCATATTGATTTTAAATTTGACAGACTCAAGTGGCTATTTAAATTCCTGTATCAAGTATATTCAACTATGTCTCATATTCAAGTCGTTTCAGTTGGACAGGGTGTGTTCTTCGAGCGCAAACCTCATCGCAGAAAGGCTGCTAGTGAACAGCTCTTAATACCAACAGCTGTATCTCAGTATGATGCAGTGTACGGCGGCCTTCCTTGCATAAGTCAGATTACTGAAACAAAGAAAACATGTTTTATGTCTTTAACCCCACCGGCCGGCTATAAGCTCTTATCAATTTTATGAGTCCATATCGAGTGGTATGTTTTTGGTTGGTTATCATAATCAAAAAACGGCAGTCAGTTCTGGTACGTCAGAAGAGCAACAACTGTCTCTAAAGATTTCTTAGCACTTGATAACCTATCTTATCGCTTGTACTTGCGAGTGGAATTTGAACTCGAACCGGCCACGCACAATTACTCGCTAAGTTTTAGTCAGACACTGAATAACATCGGTGGCATTTAAGAACATTCGCCACCAAATCTTCTCACGTTCGCATTTTTTAAAACTTTTGCTGTATTTAGATAACGATCAACTCATGTCAGATTAAAAGCTAATATTGGTATATCATAAATGCCCAGCCATTGATAAACTAATAATGGTAATCTGAATATAATATGGTATTATAGGTTATCATAGCAACAGTATAACCGGTTAAAACACCTTAATTTTAACTTTAAGTGCGTGTGACTTTTAAAACGGGCTTAGTGACCCCCATTTTTTTGTTATAGAATTGTTTTAAGCATGATATGATGCAACTTTTTGCAAAGTTTAAACAAGAAAAATCTTCCAAGGGGTCTCAGAGCCACCTTTAATTTTCGAACATTCACCTATGTCGATACCAGTATTTTAGTGGTACATTTATCCGTCAAAGTAAAGCTGTGTGCTGGAAACTGTTGCCAGTCTCCTTAAGAGAGTAAACAGCAGGCGAAGTAGACACAACCGGCAACAAGCCCTTCAGATATGTTTTCGTTGTCGAGTTATCGCGCGCGCTCATAATTGCATGGCGTGGCCTGACATTGGCTGCGAACCTCCTTAAAAAATACTTCCTTGCACTATTTCAACTTCTACAAATTTACTACAAAATTTCGTGGACGGCTTTCTTGGGTAAAAGTACGTGTATTGCAAAGCTACCATCATCTTGGGTGTGACAAACACAGCCGAACGGAAAGATCAAACAAATCTAATAGGCTTTTCCGGTTATACTTAACTGTTGTTTTGTGGCATCGGAATATTCTCTGATTAGGAAGTGGAATTTAAAAGCATCTTTTTTGCTGTTATTTTAAACTCTGCAGACACTACTGCATGATGTAAAGCGCACTTGATCATTTTATAGAAAGCTGCGCTATATCAACCTTTAAAATTATTAATAATATTATTACTAAATTAAAAAAGAAAATATTAACTTTATTTAAGTGTCAAACGTATGTACTGAGGTATTCCACTTTCTATTGTTCACCAGGAAAAGAAAAGAAAAATGGCATGAACTCGGTTGCTTGGATCTCTGAAGGAAGTTATCGTTTCTCATTCAAGTTCATCATACCCGACAAATATCTTCCCACTTCCTTTGAAGGTCGCCATGGTAACATTCGATACTGGGCTCGCGCTGTGATTGAAAGAAGACTGGGTAAGAGTGACATAAAGACTAAGCCAGCGCAGTTTCTGATTGGTGATTACGTGGCACTGGAGGACTTTGATCATGTTTCGGTAAGTAAAATATGTTCTCTGTTGTATTATTGAAATAGTTCCTAGTTCTTCGTCAATTATATGTCTTGGCTTGCATCATTGTAACTAGGCAACACACGCTTTATTACCCAAATAGCAAAATTCTTGGTTACAAAAAAAGATAATTAAAACAGAAAATTAGGTAAAGTCACCCAGAATAACTTAAAAGCTAATCGAGCTGAGTGAAATTATATAGTATTTATATAAAGAAGTTGGTTGGCAGTAAAGTTTAAAGGGGAGAGCATTAAGGATACAAAATAAGGGGAAAAAACAATAAATAAGTAGGCGAAATAAATCAGTAAATCACTAAACACCTAGGAATAAAGTGATTTAGTAATAAGTCACTAGTAAGTACCAGATGAAAACTCATGAATATAGCTTTTCAGAGACTTGCACCTGTTGCTTTTGCCTAGAAACGACATCACACTAAAATCACCAGTCGCATGCGGGTAGTATTAAGGAAAATAACCGAAAATCACCAATAACATCGAAACTTTTAGCGAGAACTACGAAGGAGAGTCATTTTGAAAGTGAATGCGCACGTGGCAATTCGTGAGATAACCTTCCTTCAGCTTCAAGGCGACAAGTCCCTAAATAGTTCACTCTAAATGCCCCAGCTGACATTTCGCAACTTAGTGGTTTCAATTGATTTTAAAAGTCGCAACATTTTTTGGAAAGTTGTCTGTTCCCACGTAACAGATTACCTCATTTTTTTTTTTTTTTTTTNAATTTTGGAAAGGACCCCTAAGAGGTGCCAAGATCCTTTTGTGTGGGCGTGGCTTGAATTTTTTTCTCCATTAAGAGGTACCAATTCTAACAGAACACATTAGCTCCTGTCATATTTTTTGGCTTAGTACCTTAAAAGATTTTTTTTTTTTTTTTTTTTTTTGGCCTACCCTCTCATTGACTATACAGTAGCTCTCGACCAATGGGAGCGGGAGAACACTCTCATTCATTGTCAAAATTGGAATAAATCATGCAAAATAATGTAACAGACTCGGCATGAAAGAATATAACGCGCCCGAGATCTCTGTCAAAAAGTAACCAGCAGCTTTTGCTGTAAATAAGACCTGAAAATTCTCTAGGCTCCCATGAGATTAGAACCAAGGACCCTTTCAACGCCAGCCGAGGGCCCTTGTTCTACCTCTAAAATACTAGTAAATGTGTGATTTATCTCATCATCTTGGCTTTACCTTAGGACGTTGTAATTGAAGAAGACTCGCACACAACAGGATGGCCATGCTTTAGATCCGGGACTTTGGCACTTAGGGCTGAGCTCGACCGAGGTGGCTTCCAACAAGGCGATGACATTAATTTGTCTGTATTGGTTACAAACGAGACATCACGTGATGTAGCATATACTGAAGTGTCTCTTGTTCAGCGAACTCTGTTTGTTGGTATTGAAGGTAAAACTGACTGCTCTTTAAATAACATAATTTCAGTTTAAAAATGCGATAACCCGACTAAATGAGCAGCAGACCTGTAGGTTTAAAAAAATTGGACGACTTATCCCTAGCATACATGTAGTAGTCTACTTTGTGCAAAATCCGTGAAAGAAATAAAGAACATGAAAAGGTTGGCTATCGGGAAATCCAGTCACTCCCTAACGCGATCGGTGGCACTGATGTTTAAAACTGTAAGTATATGGTTCGGGTTTGCGCTCAGTTCACCAGTGTTCACCCACTCATCCTTTTTTCCAGCTAGTCCAAAATAACAAGAAATAACAATAAAGTACTGGAAGCTATTCCGCATTCTTTAACCAGGACAGCAACAACCCCGCAACCTCTTTTCTGAAAGTGAAACTAAATGTTACATGTTATTGTTAAGTACTATTGATTTTAAAATCCCTCTCATTTCTCATTTCTTGTTAGGTGGCAAGACCTTCAGTGACCAGACGATATGTTATGTTAGAAAAGAAGGCGTTCCAAGCGGATGGGAGCAAGAATTTCCCAAAATATCACTGGCTATTCCGCCCAAAACCTTCCCTACTCTTATTTCTTGCAAGTGTATAGCGGTTCTTTATTTCATTCTGGTAAGTAAACCATCTTTAAAATATTGAAGTTGGAAAAAGAATTCGGATTTGGAATACAGATTCCAAAATGTCAAGAAGGGTTATATATCATGTTCATTAGGGTCTCGAGGGGGCTAAAATACTGATCAGGACCTGAATTCCTATTCTCGCCATCTCGCCGAGTTGTAGTTAACACTCTGCTACTTCAAGCTCAGACCTTGCTGTCTGAAGAAGATGACAGAGCAAAGAAAATTTAATATGCTAAGAAAGCTTTGAAAGCCAGCAATAGGTCATATTCGTATTCTCGGTATTGGACTGGAACTAGCTTGCAAAGGAGGCTCATGCGGGGGAATACCATTAAAAAGAGATAAATGTCATTTGCATTTGAAAAGACTTCCCACATTAGCCTCAGTTGCAAGCTAGTTCCAGTTCAATACCGGGAATACGAATATGGTCTATTATCCCGAATAGATGCTAACAACACCGAACACTAGACCTTGTACGAGAGAGTCCGAAGAATCTCTTAACGAGAAGAGAATGTATGCTTCAGTGCCATACATCAAGGGCACTTCGGAACGCCTATAAAAATATTCTTTGTATCACACGAGTTTAGACTTGTCCACAAGTTTCTCAAAGGCGTGGAACAGTCCATCACATCCATTGAGAACAATTTGGCGAAATTTATCGTTTATTGTAAACAAGACTTAAGGGGACATCATTCGAGGGATTTGTCAGCCATTCTTGAACATTGCCAGCTCACGGGACGTTTAGTGGATGCCAACAAAGCAAAAGTTCTTTCCACAGAAAGGCGAGAGAGCAACACGTTCAAACGTCGCGTAAGGGAGGCGACTGAGATCTAGTTACGAAAGCCTTCTTAATTGAATAGAGATAATGCCTTCGAATTAGTTAACACCTATGACACTATCTAAGCCCTCGAAACCCCAGTGAACATGACATAAACCTTCTATCAAAACCATTCACATTTTCATTGTGGCTAATGAAGTTTGGTCCAAGAGAACGATATATTCTAGCAGGACCAATCTTAAGAGGTTTTTAATGCGGACAATAGCAACTGGCTAAAATTTCAACATTTAGAATGATGAATTGTGGGAATGGGGAATGTCATGATGAATTAATGGACTGGGCCTGCGTCAAGGATGAAGTAAACACTATCAGTAGATGAATGAGGTTGCTTTCAATAGTCCGTTATATAGCTTACTCGTTTAGTTGACTGTAACTTCAATCTCGTCATTTCATTCTCAGGTCAGAGCAAAGCTGAAAGGAAAGTTCACAAAGGACGGTTACCTTGAAATTCCAGTTGTCATTGCTTGCTCCGCTGACGAATCAGAAGTTCCCGCTCAGAAAGAAGCACAAGTTAAGCCTGCGTCCCGGCGTCCAAAACGGAGAAAAGGGACATTTTTCTGCGTCACAGGAAAGACCTCCTTAATGGGGGACCTTAATGATTTAAACTTACAATTTTGGGATCAAAACGAAGGAGATAATTTTATTGTCAACCCCATGTCCCGACGTGTTAAGAACCTCGAAGGTAATTTTACAGATATTCTTAATCAGTATGATTTGACGAATTCTTATCGCGAAATTGCAACTAGAAAAGAATCTGATACAACGCATTTTTTAAATAATGGTGGATTTAAGCTCATAAGTATAGTCTGACTGGACGACAAAATAATAATCGATTTTAATGTGGGACATCAATCAGATTTCAAAATTATTGCACTAGAGTTTCATCGACCGAACTTTGTACTACACATGAAATTGGAAGTCGAAGACGAAAGACTTTGACAAATAGTTTTCCGTCCTTTAAGGCTGGTTCTCATTAGCGCATTTAAGCATAAGCATAAGCATAAGCCGACATAGACAGTTCCAGTAATTTGTTGATAATTAGCGCCTTTTTTGGGGGAAAATTCGTTGCAAAAGGTGCCGCGTCTGTGTACGTCGGTGTATGCTTATGCGCTAGTGAATACCACCAGCCTTAAGAAGTGCCACACTGAGTTCGATTGTTTAGAACCTGAAATGTTACTAATAGATCAAGTTCGATATATCAATATTCTAAATAACATGGTTCCGAGACTTTCGTGACAAAATTGTAAACTTTTTAAGTTTCGTTTGTCTCTCAATTCCCAAAAGAGATTTGAATACAAAGAAAATAACACCAAATATAGACGTTGTCCTGAAAGCCTTGGAGCCATGTTAAAATATTGATATATCGATCGTAACCTATTAGAGACTTGTCACCATCTCTCAATGTCCAACCAGACTCAATCAGAGCAAAACCTATTTACGTGTCATTGCGTGTTAAATAATTACTTAATATGTTTATCTTTTTCTGACAGTTTATTTTTTATCTTTTTGAACTTGAAATTGGTGTGATGACGACTCTGAAACGTCGTTAGTTTTATCATAAATTGTCACTTGCTTGTGCATTACAAAACCTTTGCTTATAAAGCAAAGATATCTCAAATAAGTGTTATAAGCTCTGCTTATAGGTTTAATAGAAATAATCCAAATTTTCAAGAATTCCGCAATGATTTGTCATTTCGTTAATGGCAAGTTAAAAATAGTTACTTGAAGTCTAGTATCTAGATTATTCATTTATACTGTACGTACATGTTTACTTAAGCTTGCCTTATATAATAGCTACACGTGAAAATAATCACCCTAGGTTAACTATATCACAAAGACTACGAGGAAACAAGCAGACTTTATTAAGCTCAGATACTACCTCATCTCTCCCAACACCCAAGTCAGCAGCGTAATAGCTGTTGAAAACTCTACACAAAGAAAAAAAAATCAAGATAAAAATTCAAATGCAACGTACCTTCTGGGGCTGTTGTCGCTGATCCACACACCCGAGTATAAATACAACGTCGAGGACAACGTGGAATTGAAAAAAAATAATTGAATTTAATTATATTACGGTGCTCGCACATTTGCTTGTTTTGCTGTCGAATTTCTAAAATGAGCCCAATTTAGTTGATAGACATATTTTTACCCAACATGGAGGATATGTGAACCATATCGTTATTTAAGTATAGGTTTATAGTAATAATTAACAATCAGTCGCCTCAGGCTAATTGTACATTGACGAATATTTACTGAGACGTAGATTCAAATAAACGAAAATTTCATTCAGCAACTGTATGGTACGTTTACTTCCTTTAGCGAAATGTCATATTTACAACATAGTGCGGCGAATATAGTGTCTCGCAATCCATCAAATATTTTCGATCGCACGCGATATGTCTAAATGCGTCATGTGACTGAACATGCTCCAGCTTAAACTGGGGAATATCCGAGTGATACTACCCANTTTGTCATTTCGTTAATGGCAAGTTAAAAATAGTTACTTGAACTCTAGTATCTAGATTATTCATTTATACTGTACGTACATGTTTACTTAAGCTTGCCTTATATAATAGCTACACGTGAAGATAATCGTCCTAGGTTAACTATATCACAAAGACTACGAGGAAACAAGCAGACTTTATTAAGCTCAGATACTCCCTCATCTCTCCCAACACCCAAGTCAGCAGCGTAATAGCTGTTGAAAACTCTACACAAAGAAAAAAAGTCAAGATAAAAATTCAAATGCAACGTACCTTCTGGGGCTGTTGTCGCTGATCCACACACCCGAGTATAAATACAACGAAGCTCCTACTTTGAAAGCACTGTTTTGTAAAATCGAGTTAGTAGGGATTTTAAGCAACCGCGACAACAACGTCGAGGACAACGTGGAATTGAAAAAAAATAATTGAATTTAATTATATTACGGTGCTCGCACATGTTGTTTGTTTTGCTGTCGAATGTCTAAAATGAGCCCAATTTAGTTGAAAGACATATTTTTACCCAAAATGGACGATATGTGAACCATATCGTTATTTAAGTATCGGTTTATAGTAATAATTAACAATCAGTCGCCTCAGGCTCAGTGTACATTGACGAATATTTACTGAGACGTAGATTCAAATAAATGAAAATTTCATTCAGCAACTGTCTGGTACGTTTACTTCCTTTAGCGAAATGTCATATTTACAACATAGTGCGGCGGATATAGTGTCTCGCAATCCATCAAATATTTTCGCTCGCACGCGACATGTCTAAATGCGTCATGTGACTGAACATGCTCCAGCTTAAACTGGGGAATATCCGAGTGATACTACCCAATTATATTGTTTATATAAGCCGAGTTTTCGACCAATCGGAATGTCCAATTCATGACCAGTCAAGCACTAAGCAAGTAAATAATTCTTGTCCCTGGGAAATCCCCCATACTTCTTACCTGTTATAAATACGGATTATTTTCAAACGATATGAATAACTTAAGATTACAAGTCATCGTTTTAATACAAGAGTGGTAAAAGTGATCTTGACAAATTTATGAAAATAGAGAACAGAGATCACTGCTTGGAATATACCTTTCTTTTTTTGACCGAAAATTAGATTTCTCTTTTGCCAAGATCACAACAAGGGAAAGAAAACAAAACGGTGATAAGCGTATATTCCTTGCAGAAATTTCGATGTTCTCAGTTAATCTCTCTACGTCTCCCCTCGAGTAGGTTTTTTTACAATAACTGTCTAATTTCTTGCGCGCTGATTGGCTCATTTTTATCATCAATAGTACGCTGGACAAGACTGTTCTGGATCGACGCTTTACAACAAAAAATTAAAACAAACAACGTGACACAAATAATTTTGTGATTGTCTTAAACTTTACTAAATTCCACACATGGAAACTTAATTTTATATGGATCACGCAAGAAAGGCTTGCGTTACACCTTGTCTAAATTTGGTTACTGAGTCACAAAAGTATGCAAAATCACGCAATTTCTGAGAAAAAAGAGCCACATTTGGAGTGTTGTTTTGAGAAGAAACTCTTTCCGTGCTGGCGTTTTTTTTTTTTTTGTCAAGATTTTGACAAGAAAGTATGAGAAAGACTTACAACCTATTTGGCCACTTAAATATGATACTGTCTTCAGAAACTTGAAGCTGTTGTTGCCACTAGATCGGTCGTCCAACTGCTTTAAAGATGGCTGCCTTTAGCTCGAGCTTCGTAGAGGCCACAGTTGCACAAAACACTGCTGTGTTAAAGCGTTGTCGGTCAAGAACCTCAGACACGGCTATTTGTGCTTTTAGGAAAGTTTCCGGACCTCTTTCTAGGCTCATCCACCAAAAGCTTGCCATTTTCTGGCAGTTTGATGCATAAAAGCATGAAATGTTTGTTTGGTTTGCCTTCTGGCCCTCCAGTGGTAGCACTACAACATGAATCTTTGATTCTCTAAACCGCTGATGTATAACAGGATTATAACTACTATTTAGATGGATTATCTCTCCTCCATCATACCCTGTCCTCGCCGAATTCATGAAAAAAATCCACTAACACGTAACGATGTTCTTCGCACAACAACACTGGTCTAATTACCCTACGATGTCGAGGTAAACTATGAATTTTTCTCAGAAACCGCACAATTTTCCGTACTTTTGTGATTCAGTCCGCAAATTTAGATACACCGTAACGCAAGTCTTCCTTGCGTGATCTATGTGAAAGTAAGTTTCCATGTGTGGAATTTAATAAGGTTTAAGACAATCAAAAATTATTTGCATCACTTTGCTTGTTTTAATTTTTTGTGGTAAAACGTTGATCCAGAACAGTTTTGTCTAGCGTACTATAAGGATACAGGCGGATAAAATTTTGATATATGCCCGATTTCAAGTACAACTTTCAGCTGTCAAACTGTCAACTTTTTAACCAATGAGATTTTATGAGCTTCGGCTTGTGGTTCCACAGCCACTTTGACAATTTATGTCGCAATTTATCATCAATAAGAGGACAGACGCATAAAAAACAGACTTCAATTTGTTAAATTTCAACTATATTTTACCTGCCGTTTAGTTTTATAAAGAGTGGTTCTTATTTCTTGGCGACTCTGCAATAGGTGCTGTGCGCTTGCCAATTTCGCCAATTTCGTGTCCAGAGCCCATTCGTTTTTCTGTCGGCGGAGATTGGCCAATTTAAAAACCAGAAGCAGAAAATCTCGGTTCTGGTTTGCGTGCATACATCTGAATTCAATAATTGTATCTGAACATGCATAGAGAGGTCAACCGCTGCTTCTAATGGTGGCTGAGTTGTTGACTCAGCTCTCCTTCTCCTACTCAAATTCAACCGAAGGATCCGATTCTTGTCGCTGACCAAAAGGACCGTGGCCTCTAGAAAAGAAATCGATGTTATTCCGCCATTGCATTAAAACAGTTTAGTTTGATTCCACGTCAGGGGCCTGTTTCTCGAAGGTCCCGAAAAGTTTTCGCACCCAGGAAAGCCATAGCAAAATCTCAAAGCTTATGATTACAGAGCTGTTTCATTCACGTAATTTTAATATGACGTTTCAGGCGTATACACTTCTCCGTTTTTAGATACAGATGAACTAAAAATGGCTTAACGGCCCCGAAAAGTTTCCGGGGCTTTCTAGAAACAGGCTCCAGGACTGAGAAAGAATCTGTGGTTTTCAAAGATTGCCACACATTTCTACAGCCTCTGTGGCGATCGTCCCGTTGTGGTATCATAAACAGATCCCTTACATCACGCGGTATAATAGATATCTCAATTCAGAAATAAACAAAATTCAACAGCATTATTATCCAAAATATTATTTAAAAACGCTTTCTATCAAATGAATTTGATGTTTTCGCCAAAATGTCAAAGCAACGCCCATCACTGTTAAATTTTTTGAAAAAAAAGTCATGCCATCGCAGGAGAAATAATTTCTCTAGCTTTATAAAACAGCTTTTCGAAATTCAAAATTAGAATTGAGAACAACGGTACTTTTCTAGCTCAGTTTTTTGGTTAATTATGGCCGGAAAGTATCTCTTTCACTGGGTCAATGGATGCAGTTTTTGGGTTGACATGCAAAACTATTGAGCTTTAAAACTGTTTTAACACAAAAGCTGTTTTGGAAAACCGAATAACTACAAAACTTTAAGTTCTCATAGTCACTCAAGGAGGTGTTGAAAGTAGCAAAACGTTTTACAAGATTTGCTCACAGCTGTCTAGTATGTTAACTGGATTGCTATGCAAATATGGCAAATCAATTATGAAACCACCTGGTTATACTTCCTAAATGGAGCGTTTTAAATTAAGAAATAGTCAAATCATAAATCCTAATTATATGCTACGCCAGCGAATCATACTTGTGATCATATAAGCTTAATATTTGATGCAAATCTTTACTTTTTTTCATGGAGATTTGACTGAAACCGCCACAAAGAAGGAGAGCGAGCTGACTAAAACTGGCTAGGTAAGAGTCGTACATTTTTTTGATATTTAATTGTTAACAGCAAAGAGGGAAAAATGAGAACTGTGATTATTTTAAAAAGAATTCCATTCAAATATTTTTCATACATGTAGCTGAGGAAAGAAAAAAAGAATCACACTAACCAACAGTGCTACCTCTGTATGCGCAGGAAAATTAAAATGACTGTAATCATCATTATCCTTTACCGTATTTTGTGGCAGCTTTAAGATAGTTGTCAGTGTGTAGCCTGAAACTGTTATCGGAGATTCAAAGGTATATACAGTCTGGTCTACGTGACACTGTGTGGTCCAAAGATGTCGCAAATGCTCACAGAAACCGCTTCGGGTATGGCTCTTCTTCAACGCTAAATCTCTGCAAAGACATTCGCATCGTTATCTAAATAGAGAGAAAAAGTGTTATGCACGGAACATTATATAAATCTCGCAAGCAAAAGAAGTCTGAATGGCATTTGTCAGTTTGCTAAATAATTTGGCTTTTTATATGTTAATGATATTGCTTTTTAAGGCCTATTTATAAGCATAAATGTAAACATTGTTGACGCTGACAATCATTCGCCCATTTTCTAAATTTGTTTATGTCCTGATCGCAGCTGAAGGCAAAGCTAATTGGCATTTTGCTGAAAATGATATATTTGAAAATTAATTTGAAAATGATATATTTGAAAATTAATTTTAACTTTTAAACATATCGCCAGAATTCAGCCAGCAAAGGTTTAATAACAAGTTAAGCACCGTCGTTTAAAAGGTTGGAAACTTTAACCTAGCAGCCGGAGGCTAAATTATACGTTTGATACGTCTAAGGTCCGTAGGTTTATGGTCTCGGCCACCGG